CCGCTTCTTGCTCGGGCAGGGTCGCCTAGGAAACGGGCCAGGGGCGCGCCGACCGAGCCTCCCTATGGCCGCGGTTGTGAGCCAGGCAGGGGCAGAGAGCTGCGAGTGCGAGCGCGCCCCCCCAGATGTTGCGCCCGGTGCGGCCGGCCTGGAAAAAGGTGCCGGAACGCGGTTCCGCCGCGTTCCGGCTGAAAAAAAGTCCTGGATACCACAAAGCCCCCTCCTCCCAGAAGGTAACAAGGAAAACAGGTCGTGAAGAGGATGTGTAGTGTCCCAGATAATCTTACGGACCCTGCTCAAGCAACGCTTCTGTGCTATGTCCTGGATGGGAGGGAGAGAACTGCCGATGATCTTTTTGGCCATTCTCACCACTCTCTGCACCGCCTTCCTGTCTGAAGCAGTGATGCTTCCAAACCAGACTGTGATGCTGTATGACAGGATGTTCTCGATCATCCCCCTGTAGAAAGTGGTCAGGACAGGGGAAGGAAGATGTGCTTTTCTCATGCGGCGCATCTTGCAAAAATCTTGCAAATCTGAAAGCACAAACTTTCTGCCCTTCTCTTCTTGATTCACTAGGGATGGTGCTTCCTTAGTTTCCTTCTTTCTCTGACCATTAAGTGACTGCAGTCCCCTGCCCGTCTTGTCTGATTGTTTCCTAGGTAGCATTTCTTCTCCCCTTTCCTCAAAGTCACCCTGCATTCCCTTACATATTCACTATCTTCATGCTATAAGAGTACAGAGAAGAGCAACAAAGATGATCAGGGGACTGGAGGCTAAAACATATAAGGAACGGTTGCTGGAATTGGGTATGTCTAATTTAATGAAGAGAAGGACGAGAGGGGACATGATAGCAGTGTTCCAATATCTCAGGGGCTGCCCCAAAGAAGAGGGAGTCAAGCTATTCTCCAAAGCACCCGAAGGCAGGACAAGAAGCAACGGATGGAAACTAACCAAAGAGAGAAGCAACCTAGAACTAAGGAGAAACTTCCTGACAATTAGAACAATTAACCAGTGGAACAACCTGCCTCCAGAAGCGGTGAATGCTCCAACACTGGAAGTTTTTAAGAAGAAACTGGACAGCCATTTGTCCGAAATGGTATAGGGTTTCCTGCCTGAACAGGGGGTTGGACTAGATGACCTCCAAGGTCCCTTCCAACTTTATCATTATTATTATTATTATAACCACTATCCCTAAGGCTCCTTGAAAAGAAACAAGGTGCTTAACTTTATCTTTAATCTTCCTGTCTTGGATGCTTCTGGGTTTTTAGAAAAGTGGTTTGCCCACTGACAGGAGAAACATGCTTGCTGGAAAAGAAATGCAAGAAAAAGCGGCATATAAAAATGGCCCAAAGTATAAATATTAAAACTGGTGAAGCAATTTTTCAACATTCTCATAGGGAGCCATTAGCCTCTTCCAGGTGATGAAAGCCTGGTATTCAATTCTTCTGTAAAACATCTTGGCATTGATCAAAGAACTTACCTTTTCTCTAAAATTCTTCGCGGTGTTATCTAGATGGATCTTGGTCAAGTTGTATCCAGTTGTGGCAGGTAAAGATATCCTTGATTCACTACTCTTCCTTTCTGGGGATTCATTCTGTGCTGTTAAGGAAAGCTATGGTTTAGCAAGATGCTATTAGTCTTTTTTGAACAAGATAAATAATATTGCTTATTTTTTTATATTGCTCCAGAGCAAATAACCTGATGTCAAATCACTACCCTGTAGCAATATTTTCACTATCTCAGAGTTTTGTATATTAAAATAGGTGTCTGCATTTAATTTAAAAAAATTACCAAAATATTGCCAGATTTTATGGAAGAACAAATATCTTGCAAACATTGGCTCTTGTGTACTTTTGATTGCTTTGATTTTGAAATTTGCCCAGAGTTGCTGGACAGCCTATAAATTTAATAAATAAATACATTCAATTTAGAAATAATTTAAGAATCAATGTGCACACTAATACAGACTGATAAGACAATGTTTATGGGTCCCCTTTATTTTTCATTCATTCATTCATTCATTTTATTCAAGAACCTAACAAGGAAATCTAATAAATCCAATAAATAGAAATAGAGAAAAGATATGAATTAAGGTACAGTAACTTTGGAAAGAGATTCATACGAATGAATGTTCCACCATACAAAATATCATTTCAACATAGGAAGCTAAGGAGAAATGGAAACTAAGAACAGTGTTTTATCCAACATGGTGATTTTCTACATTCAGGATACATTTATTTTGAGGAAAACCCTGTAATAAAACAGCCATATATGATTTTTTAAATGGAGTTAGATCTGCCTTTTCCGTTTGGCCCATCAGGAGAGTGGGTTATTCATCATTTCCTAAGCACAGAAACCGGTGACATTACCTACTTACTATTTGCAGCCCAGGATGAATGCACCTCATGCCACAGGAACTTTGGGTGAGAATGACCATGTCATATTAGAATTCAATATAATGCCATATAATAGAACATAATCAAACCAGTGTCTTAGACTTTAAAAGAACTGATTTCAACAAACTTAGAGAGACCTTGGGAAGGTTTCCATGGATGAAAAACTTAAAGGGAAAACAACTCAAGAAACTTGGAAAAAATATGACTATAAAAGTCCAGTCCAGCATAATACCACTTAAAAAGAAAAATAAGAAATCCAAGTAAAAAACAGCATGGTTGTACAAAGAACTCTCTGATAAACTGAAAGACAAAAAGAATAAGTATAAAAAAATGGAAAGTGGGGGTGCATAACTAGGGCAGAATGCCAGCATATAGCCCAAATCTGCAAAGATGAAGTCAGGAAAGCTAAGGTTCAGAATGAACTAAGACTTGCAACAAATGTCAATAATAATAATAATAATAATAATAAGTTTCTTTCAACATATAAAAAATTTTAAAAGGCAAAGAAACAATTGGTCCACTAATGAGAGAAGATGGCAAGGAAGTGATGGGCATCAGAGAGAAAGCAGAGCTGCTTAATTCTTTTTTTGCACAAAGAGAAAAAATAGCCCCAAAAACAGAATCATAAAAGACAGACTAGGAATTCAAATTAAAAGGCAAGAAAATGGTAAGAAAACACCTGTCCACTCTAGACGATTTCAAATCATCTGACCTGATGGATTACAACCCAGAACACTGAAGGAGCTGGCAGACGAGATCTTGAAACCATTGAACCATATCTTTTAAAGATACTGAGCACTGGGGAACCACCAGAGTACTGGAAAAGAGATGATGTAGTTCCCATCTTCATGAAAGGGAAAAAAACAGATCCAGGAAACTACAGACCAATCAGCCTGACATCAATACCTGGGAAGATCCTGAAAAAGATAAGCAACAGATCTGTGAACCCCTAGAAGCAAGGAAAGAAGCCAAAATGGATTTGTCAAAAACAGATCATGCCAAGCAAATCTTATTTCATTTCTTGACAAAGTAACTAAATTAGTGGACCAGCAAATGCTGTGGATATACATAGTATACTTGGATTACAGTAAGCCATTTGACAGAGTAGACCACAACATACTTCTTGGTAAGCTAGAAAAAATGTGGGATAGACAGCATTATCACCAGATGGATTTGTAACTGGCTGACAAACCATACCCAACCTGTAGTCCTTAAATGGAATTACATCTATATGAAGGGAAGTAAGCAGTGGGGAACCCCAATGTTCTGTCTTGGGTCCAGTACTCTTCAATATCTTCATAAACAATTCAGATAAGGGAACAGAAGGGAGATTCATCAAATCTGCAGATGATACCAAGGAGGGAGGAATAGCCAACATCCCAGAAGATTGGCTCAAGATACAGATGGATCTCAACAGACTTGAACACTGGGACCTATCTAACAAAATGCAATTCAGTGTAGAAAAAAGTTAAGGTTTTACACTTAGGCAAGAAAAATCAAATATACAAGTACAAGTTAGGTGAAACATGACTCAGTAGCAGTAACTATGAGAGGGATCTTGGAGTCTTAGTAGACAATCATCAGCAGTGTGCTACAACCCCCCCAAAAGCCAATGCAATCCTAGGTTGCATTAACAAAGGGATAGAATTAAGATCACATGAAGAGTTAGTACCATATTATAAAGCCTTGGTAAGACCACACTTGGAATACTGCATTCAGTGTTGCTCACCACAACATAAAAAAATGTTGAAACAATGGAAAGAGTGTGGAGAAGAGCAACAAGATGATTAGGGGGCTGAAGGCTAAAACAAATGAAGAACAGTTCCAGGAATTGAGTATATCTCATTTAGTGAAAAGAAGGACTAGGGGTGATATGATAGCAGTGTTCTAATATTTGAGGGGCTGCCACAAAGAAGAATGGATCGACCTATTTTCCAAAGCATCAGAAGGCAAGACAAAAAGCAATGGTTGGAAACTAATTAAGGAGAGAAGCAACCTAGAACTAAGGAGAAATTTTCTGAGAGTGAGAACAATAAACCAGTGGAACAGTTTGCCTTTAGAAGTTGTGGGTGCTCCACCACAGGAGACTTTCAAAAAGAGACTTGTATAATCATTTGTCTGAAATGGTGTAAGGTCTCCTGCTTGAGCAGGGAGTTGGACTAGAAGATCTCCAAAATCCCTTCCAATTCTGTTATTCTGTTATATTTTTCACTTGAAATCCAAAACTTAATTTTTGAATTGAATTGTTCAAACCAGTCCATCAGAACTGGTGATCTCCAATGGTTTGCTCCACTCTACCAAGACCCCCAGTTTTGCTTGCATATCCTTTCACCTGCAGTGGTTGTTCACTGCTCTGGACAGCCTTTTCATCCTGGGTTATTTTCTATGTTCTCCACTAGTTGGTTGTTGACAATCTTTATTAGAGGAAAGTAGGAAGAACAGCCTGCTTCCTGTTGCTTTGATTATTGTGGCATCAGAGCAACAATGGTACCATTAAGGCAAGAAAAAAAAAGAAAAGAAAAGAAAAGAAAAGAAAAGGGTCTTAAAAAGGATTTTAAAAAAGAATATAACTTGGAAAGGCATTCATGTGTCCAAACATCTGGGAAAGCATAGGGATGAATGAGGAGAGAAAAAACCTTAGAGAGAAAGGCTGGTCTCGATAGGCAGGTCCAGCTAGCCAGCCAGCCAACAAATCAGGACTGCCTTCCTGTATGGATGGGAATGGCAAGAAGCAGGGGAACAACTAATCAGGGCTTGCATGCCATCACCCAAACCTACCTGGAATTTGAGAAGTTGGCTTAAGAAACAGCTGGAAGCAGCATAGGTGACAAGTAGCTTAGGCTGCAGCATGAATTTGCTCTTTGATTGAAAGGATTGGTGTTCACTGACTGAGAAATAATTTCACTAAGGTTTCTGGATGGTTTATTGTTTCTTTTTTCCTCCCAGGATTTTATAATGTGTGAGGTTGCTTGATGTTCCCAACCTTATAATACAATTCCCTATATGTTATGTACTAATTGGAGAAGCCAAACTTTGTAGCAGTGAAAGGTTGGTTTAATGCTGCTTCCCTTGACCCCCTTAAGATGCCTACCTGAATCTATCACCTTTTCAGCTCGCTTTTTCTTTTTCTTGTCCAAACTGATGCCAAGATATTGCAAAAATTCTTTATAATTCAGTGTGTTTGTTCTTGAAATACAGTATCGATTCCATAATCTAAAAAAAACCAGTTTTTTTTAGTTCATTAAATGTTGGAGAATAAACTAATGTAATGTTTAATCATATATACAAAGGATGAATATAATAATCAAAACAAGAGCTATGTAAGATTTTTTTTTAATTTGTAAATTCTGATGCCGAATGATTTATTTATCATTCCCCACTGTATTCATTACTTTCTAGGAATCAATTTTCCCTTTTCCTAATCAGCTTGGGAAGATTCATCTTTTTTACTTCTTTTTCTGAAACACACGTAGAAAGAAACATTTTGATTGCATTGTCGGTGTCACCCATACCACCTTGGAACAACCTTGGCAGCTTGAAGATGTGTGGATTTTTATTCCCAGAATCAGCTATCAGCACAGCTGTCATCTTTTCAGGGAGTCCAAGTCTGCACCTCTTAAAGCTGCCAAGGCTGACTTAGAAGAAACCACTGAAAGGCTGACTTAGAAGCAGCCACTAGACTTAAAAGAAGCCATTGTAACTCATGGCCAGTCCTTTTTCCCCCTCTTTCTTCCATTAAAAAAATGTCAAGGGCTTTTTTAGTTTATCATAAATAGTCAATATTCTCCTTTGAGCTCAGATCTCTCCTTTACCCCCAACCTCTAAGACAGTTTCCAACTATTACCCTTAGATGTCCTAACATAATATCAGCACAGATAAAAGAGGAACGATTAGCAACTTGTGTAAATAAACCATGGCGATTCTGGGTCCCAAAGATCAAAAACACTCCAACCAAGCCCATATGTTATCACTCTAGCTCTTTTTCTGACTATCCCTAGAAGTAAGACAGCTGATACCTCTTCTCTCTTCTAAACCCTTGGAGGTGTGCCCTTAAAAAAAAGAAAGAAAATAATGAGCACAGCTAGAATAGTCATAGGCTGACCTCTGGGTCAGAAGGTTAGCAGAGTTTGGTCTGGTCAGTATTTGGATGGGAACCCACCAGAGAATCTTATCCTCTGAGGCAATATGCTAAAGTGGAACATAATAAAGATATATCATAGCAGCAGTTCTGGACCATTTCCAAGATGTGTCCATGAAGTCACCGGGGGTTCAGTTTGAAGCAAGGGGATTTTCCATCGCCTACTCACTTAGCTGATAGAAGGCAACTGTATGTTAGACTGGGATGCTAAAAAAAATCGCAAAAGAAGTATTTCCACATAGCTGCCAAGAAAATTATATGGATAGTCCTATGGGATTCCCAGGAGTTAAGCTTTCCCTTACAAATTTAATAAACAAACATGAACCTATTTAATCAACACTAGACATTATGGAAGAAACTTTGAAGTGCCTTCTTGCAGCTTCCTTAAGAACCATTTTAAATTCAACCAAAGATGAATCCAGTCCGCTACATACATTTTACAAATCTCTAGAGAATAAATGTCATCATTTTAATTTAGATTTAAATGCACCAGATAAAAATTTGTGATACTTTTTTATGAACACTCCTATTGTTCTAGTAACATCCATTCAGATTTATCACATTGAAGACTTCGATGCCAAGTACAAGATTTATTATCAAATAAAACCACATTTTGTTGTTTTTCATTGCTTTTCTTTAAAAAGCATGGCTTCTGTTCTGTAATTATGTGCACCAAATTGTAAGAAGGGGTTTTTCCTTTGTTTTCATCTAATTTTGGATAACATGCCAAGTGCTCATAAAAAAGAGGAATATCAAAACAGCAAGCCCAGCTAGTAAATATGGGCTAAAATTTGTTTTGAGGTTGCTGGTAATAAGAGATATAAAATATTTAGAGCAAAGCAAAACAAACAAATAGTCTGTCCTAATTTCTCTCCCCTCTTCAGCTTAATGTTTCTACTATTGCAGCTCATTACAGCTCTCTAAACCTTCCAAATTAAAGTTTTTCCAGGCTTCCCCAGGAAGATAATAATAATAATAATAATAATAATAATAATAATAATAATAATAATAATAATAATAATAATAATAATGATGATGATGATGATGATGATGATGATGATGATGATGATGATGATGATGATGATGATGATGATGATGATGATGATGATGATGATGATCATGATCATGATGATCATGATGATGATGATGATGATGATCGTGATGATCGTGATGATCGTGATGATCATGATGATCGTGATGATCATGATGATGATAAAGTTGGAAGGGACCTTGGAGGTCATCTAATCCAACCCCCTGCTCAGGCAGGAAACCCTATACCATTTCCGACAAATGGCTGTCCAGTTTCTTCTTAAAAATACAGACTCCTCATATTAAAGTGACCATATTTGCACCACAAAAGCCTGGGGCACTTAACAGCAACAAAGAGATGGCCCAAATTAACCCTTTGGTGCCATTTAGTAGTTGTTGAATTTATGTAGCCCAAATCTGAGATCCAACTCTTAACACCACTACTGATAAAAAAAAAAAAGTACAACAGCCCAGCCATTAAAGAAATGCAACTTGCATTGGACAAACAGAGATTTAATTGTGGTTTTTATGAAGCTAAAGTTTACTCAGTCAATGATGAGTGAATATCTACAACGGAAATGAAGTGGCGATATGAAAAAGTATGGCTGAATAATCTTTAATTTTAACCACTTTACTCAAGAGAGTTAACAAACATATCAAAGCAAGACTGAAGATTAGTTCTTTCTTTAATACTTATCTGTTTACGTACCTTTCCCTTGAACTGAGTTTAACTCCTAGTAATTATAAATATTAAACTATAATTTTAATGAGCTGAAGAAACTTCTTGGATGAGAAGCGAAACATCTTCAAAGAAGAACAAGAAAGTCCAGTTGCTATTTTGGTTTGGAGAAGATGGATTGATTATATTCAGAAAAAATACGAGATTGAAAAGTATTGCTTAGCTTATGAGTAAATTTTAGAATATTATTAATAGTTTATTATGGATGAATTTATATTATTTTTAGTAATAATGTTTAATTATATTATTATTTTGTTGGAAAAGTGTTAAGATCTATCTATTTTGTAGAGTTAAAGTATGTGTGGATGAGACTTGATTGTAGTATAATTGGGTAATGTTATTTAATTTATGATTCTGTTTTTATAACCCTGTAACCAGCTCTGGGAAGTGAAGGGGGGAGGAGTGGGAGGGAAGTGGGATATTGTATGGAACATTTTTAAAACTTTTAATAAAAAGAAAAAAGAAAAAAAAAAGAAAGTCCAGTTGCCTCATGAAAAAGCACCTTTGGGATAACTATGACCTGGATGACTGAGAATCTCCATAGACGTTTAGGTATTAAACTATATGTTTTTCATGATGAACTCGAAGGAAGATTTTGCCATAGTCTAGTTCAGTCTATAATTCTGAGATTTTCTGATGATCTCCCACTCAGTTTAATGGGCTCTGGGAATAACCATGAGAGGCAGGAGGGATAGCCACAGCCCAGACAGTGGTCATACAAGAGAGATCTCAGCTCACAAAAGGAATGGAGAAATGACAAAGTGCCTCATAAGGGACACTTCCCTATTTTCTGGAAAATAAAGGCAGAGAAAGGGGGAGAGCTTTCCAACTTGCAAGATTCTGTTACTGCAACCTGTTACTACAGTAAATATAGTGTTACCGAGTTAATGAGAATTCCTTCGAAGATGCTTCCTCCATTCCCATTCCTTCTGTGGGCTGAAATATCTCTTGTTTGACTGCTGTCTCCTACGGTTATTCTTATAGCTCACTATCAGTACTAACCAGGTGTAATTTTGTTTAACTTTTTTAGATCTTTTCAAATTGGCTAGGAGTTGCTATATAGTTGGGCTCATTGGCCTCGACATCTGATGACTTCATGGAGATGTTCATATACATTTTTTTATAAAAATCAGTTGAGAAAACAATTTGTCAATGCCTTCCTCCAGCATGTCATGTCTTTTCACCTTTACAGATTTGATTGTAACCTTGGGATTTCCATCCCAGATCTGCACTGTCTCATTGGCTCTCCTGTTCAATTGCTCGTCTTGTTACAGAATCTGTCTGTAATGTAAATTATAGATAGTTCTTGCATTTCAGCTTCAGTGAAATTTTCATTGCTAAACTATGTGGTTGTAAAGTGCAATATCATGTGAATCCTTTGCTTATCAATGGCAATCCTGGCAGTCCTACTTGCTATCGTAACCCCAGGACTGTGCAGGTCATTAAGTGAGAACCTCATGTGGCTACAACATGGGAAGAAGTAGGAGTCTCAGGCAAGCAAGCTGCTAGAGGGAGGTGGTGCAGGTACACTAGGTGCTATGAAGGACAGGTAAGTGGGTGAGTGTCGCCACTGGATACTACAGATCACAAGTGAACAGGGAGGTGCTGCAGGTGGGTGCCTTCCTGTCCTCTACCATCTTCTGGAGTCCATTTAAGCTCACACCTACTGCTTCAGTGACTCCATCCAGCCACCTCATTCTCTGTCGTCTCCTTCTTCTATTGCCCTCAATCTTTCCCAGCATTAGGTTCTTCTCCAGTGAGTCCTTCCTTCTCATTAGGTGGCCAAAGTACTTTAACAACAACAACAACAACAACAACAACAACAACAATAATAATAATAATAATAATAATAATAATAATAATAATAATAAATGGCTATTTAATCAAAAATAGAATTGGAATCCAGAATACTACAAACAAATTGTGGAATCACACCCAATCCTCTTGTTTGTGTTCCCTCACATGGGGTCATAGAGACAGAGTACCTGAGAAGACTTTATTGTTGGGGACCTTTATACGATGTGAACTTCTCAGATGATGGTGATGATGAAGAGGATGAATTCTTAGTGAGTTCTTCAGCTATGGCTGATCAAGGAGAGTTATTTCAGCCCAAACTTTTCAAGGCTCTCTGAATTACTCTCCTGGATGTGTTAGCTGGATTTTAGAATTGACACCATATATGATCCCTTTCTTCCATGAACCAGGAAATCATGGGGTGCAAACAGGACCACTGTGTCCCAAGGTCAAAATAATATCATTAAGTTATGTTAAAGAATAACAGTGGAAAAATAGGAGATTGCCAGAGTTTACAACAGACATATTTTAATATCTATTATCTAAGACTTTCATTGTTAAGGAAACACAATTTACTAAAATAAGCCTCCATCTACTAAAATAAACATAATAGTAATTACTACATGTAAGGCAAGCTTCCCACAGTGATTCTACAAACTTGTGCTTTACTTACTTATCATACTCGCAATCCGTCATCTTGAAGCAGTTGATTTCAAGAATCCTTCTTAGTTCATGCCGTTGGATCTGTCCATTTTGATTATAGTCAAAAAGTCTGCACGTTTTGATGAAGTGCTTGATCTTTTTAGAAATCTGTTTAAAAAATTTCAACAGATTTGTATTAAAATACAGAAGTGTTTGTAATACTAGTGTCACATTAATATTAAGTTCTGATATCAAATAGTATAATAGTATGAATTAGTATTCCACCAAAGGATTTTAGATTTCTTTTCTAAATATGAAGGTGGGGGGGAAACTCCAGTGTTGTAGAAGCTAGGGGCAATGGAGGGATTTCTTTCAAAATTATGTTTGCAAAAATTAATTTCTAAAACTATATTTTATTCTAAGCTAATGATAAATATACACAAGACAATAATAATAATAATAATAATAATAATAATAATAATAATAATAATAATAATAATAATAATAATAATAATAATAATAATAATAATAGTAAAGTTGGAAGGGACCTTGAAGGTCATCTAGTCATCTAGGTGGTTGGGGGGTCAAGAGAGGGTGGTATGATTAGTACGGTCAGTGGGAGGGGCAGATATGGCGGGAGCAGAGGACCATATCGGGTTTGGGGAGCACGCACACGCTGTTTACAAGCGTGTGGGTGCTCCGGTCCTCAGGGCTCCACTCGGACTCCAGGGAACTTAGATCCTCGGGCCCGGGATCACTGGCTGATGTTATGCAACGCCAAATCAGTGGTGAACAAAGCCCCCCTCATTCAAGATCTTATTCAAGAGGGGGGTGCGGACCTGGCAGGTATCACCGAGACCTGGCTGGGCACGGAAGGGGGAGTGCCCCTCATTGACATCTGCCCGCCGGGTTTCCAGGTATTCCATCAGCCAAGGACCCGGGGTAGGGGCGGTGGGGTAGCGGTCATTATAAGGGAGAATC